TTTCAATCCTCTGGTCACCTGGCCTTTTTTAAGTCTTAGTGTTTCTTGTAACTTCCCCAGTCATTTTTTCCTCTTCCTGTCAACTTCCTTGGTAAGCGATAAAATAATGTCCTATGTTTCATTCATTCAACAAATATTTATTGGACACTTGTTATGTTCCAGGAAATATGCCAGTTGCTAGAGATGAAGCAGCAAACAAGACCGACAAAGCCATTTTCCTCATGGGGACTACTGCTAAGGCAGACACTTAATGGACTGAACCACCCAGGTGCCCCCAGATGGATACTTATAATATAACATAATATAATATAATATGTATACACACATATTTAATGGAGAAAAATTAAAGACATTTCCACTAAAGTCAGGAATAAGGCAAAGATGATTACTATCTCCATTACTATATTGTGCTGGAAGTATTAGCCAATGTAATGTAGCCTGGGTTCTTTATCATACCTCTGATATCTTCACCTAAATTCCCTTCTGTTTAATCTAGTCAAGAGTTGGTACCTATAGCTAGCACCAAATAATATAACTTCTTTATCCTTTCAGTATTTCCACGTTTTCTATGATAACAATGCATCACTTTAATAGAGGGAAAAATTTTAAATAGGAAAAACACCAATAAACCATCCCCCAATCACTCTCCTCTCAGCAGTTTTAAACAATGGTTGAGATAAAAAAAAATTCAGCTTCTGCATCTGTAGGTTCTAAAAATAATAAATATCATCTTTATGTAATGAAATGTCACTATTTTTTAAAATAAATTTTACTGCATGGTAACTACAAATATTTATAATGGAAAAATCAATAAATCACACCACTGATGGAAAATTGGTGAAGCCCTGGAAGTCATATATGAGGTTTTATTGAAGCTCCATAGTTTTTTTAAAAAGCAAATATATTAACTAGCTGCTCTGAAAAATTGCCTACAAGGTATACTTTCCAATGACCTTGGCACTAAACAGCCAAAAAAGATGTTATTTCTGCAACTGATTAGAAATGGTTTCGTGTCCAGATCCATAAAAATTTGTGGGAATTAATTATATTGCATGAAATAAAACTATAAAATATTTTATTGCATAAATTAAGCTTTTTACCCAACCTCCTGAAATTTCCTGTTGTAGATACAGAAATTGTCAAATGCAGATTTTCTTTATGAATAGGATAAAAATTTATGTAGTTTTGTTGCAAGATAGTTTTTTTGTATTTTATTTTATTATGTTATGTTAGTCACCATACATTACATCATTAGTTTTTGATGTAGTGTTCCATGATTCATTCTTTGCGAATAACACCCAGTGCTCCATTCAATACGTGCCCTCCTTAATACCCATCAACGGGCTAACACATCCCACCACCCCCTCCCCTCTAAAACCCTCAGTTTGTTTCTCAGAGTCCATAGTCTCTCATGGTTTGTCTCCCCCTCCGATTCCCCCCCCTTCATTTTTCCCTTCCTTTTTTTTTTTTTAACATATAATGTATTATTTGTTTCAAAGGTACAGGTCTGTGATTCATCAGTCTTACACAACTCACAGCGCTCACCAGCAAGACAGTTTTAAGAAGAGCTTCCTTAGCGTTCATTTGAAAAGAATTGCTTATTTCAACTTCCATTTCTTTGTATCATTTTATTTGTGTGAAGTCTGGTACGTCATATCCTTTGTAAAGTTTGGTTTTTCTGTGAGGACAGACTGAAAGATGAGTGGGGGTAATAATGCCCATCACCAGAGAACATACTTGTTAGAAGATTGAATGGTGGGTATTGCAAGGGCAGGACCAACTTGAGAAGCTAGCCTTGGACTAATTACACCTGTGTTGTTACCTACCACCTTCCTTGCTGTCACCACTGCTAAGGAAAAATGCTCTCTCTTGCCTCTCCGTTTAGGATTTACTCATACTGTCACTTTCAGGGACAAGTGCACTGAGCAAAATAAGTAAATAAATGTATTGTTTTATTTACAAAATGCCTCCCAGTGTCATTTTGGAAGCAGGGCAATATAAATGAGACAGGCAGGACAAATGAACTGGGACTTGGCTTGTGACCTGTTGTAAGTTGTCTGTAGTTTATTTTTAAATAATTCAGCATAAACAACGTAGCTATATGCAAAAGTTCAAAGGTGGTTCACACCAAGGGTAGTCCTTACTCATAAAAATATTAATGGGAAAGGTGAAGGCCCACAAGAACCAAAAAATGCGAAGACAACAAAATATGGCTTATTAAAGGATGTTCAGAGAAAGAAAATCAAAGGACACTGGGAAAGTAGAACTCTCAACTATTTTGTCTATTTTGTTTCTAATTTCTCCATCAGTGACTAGTCTTTGATACCTAAGCCCGATTATAATATGACCAAAAAAATTACAAACCAAAATCACTTACAAATACCAATGCAAAAATCCTAAATATAGTGAATAACGTCCAGTAATACACTAAGTAAATAATGTATTATGACCAAGTGGGACTTATATAAAGTATGAAAGTATGGTTTAATGTTAGGAAATATTAATATAATTCACCATATTAATATGTCCAGTTGCTGAAAAGCACTAACAAAATTCAACACTTATTCTTAATTTAAAACTCCTGAGAAAATAGAAGTGGATGGATACTTTCTTTCTTCTTCTTTTTCTTTAAACATTTTACTTATTTATTTGAAAAAGAGAGAGCACAAGCAGGAGGAGCGACAGAGGGAGAAAGAGAAGCAGACTTTCCACTGAGTGGGGAGCCCGATGTGGGACTCCATCCCAGGACCCTGAGACCATGACCTGAGCCAAAGGCAGACACTTAATGGACTGAATCACCCAGGTGCCCCCAGGTTAAAGGAAGCCAACCTGAAGCTGGCCAAATCTGATGATTTGAGGATCAAAATAAGGATGGGGAAGAATAGAACAATATCCCATGTGGAAGAATTCCAAATAAATTATACAAATAAGGGAGGGGGAGATTAACAACCAGAAATGTGCACTGTGCACAGTGACTTCCTTCCAAGGGGTACAGTATGGAAAGGGGGAAAAACTACAATGGAGAACTCTGACAAACTGCTGTAGCCAGGTGATCAAGTTTAACATAAACAATCATAAATTATGTTGGTAGTGTGTACCCCTGCTATGATGTGATGAAAGTGACACTTTACCTCTGTGGTCTTCCCCTCAAAAACCTAAAACCCCAGTCTAATCATGGGAAAACACCGATAAATTCCAGTAGAAGGGCATCCTATAAGATACCTCACCAGTTTTTCCCCAAATTGTCAAGGTCATCAAAAGCAAGCATAGTCTGAGAAACTGTCACCGCCAAGAAGAGCCTAAAGAGAAATGCCAACTACATGTAATATGGTATCCTGGAAGGGATATTGGAACAGAAAGGGATTAGGTAAAAATTAAAGAAATAATTATGGACTGTAATTCATATGAATGTATCAATATTTGGTTCACTAAATATAACAATGTATCATAATAATAAGAGGTTAATAATAGGGGAAATGTGGGTGGGTGTGGTACATGGGAACTGTGTACTACATCTACTCAATTTTTCTGTACATCTAAAACTGTCCTCAAAATAGTCTAATATAACTAAATAAATAAATAAATAATAAAGACAGTAATGGATTTTTTCATGGACTTCTTGAACAAAAAGGAAAACATAAATTCATGCTGATAGTAAATAAGGAGAGCTTTTCTTTATAGTAGCATCATCACTAATAAATGTGGAGTCCTTGAAGGAATTAGGTGGGGGGGAAAAGCTAGTTTGTAACCATCATTGTAAAGATAGGTTGCAGCAAGATCATCCAATGGAGGTTGAACCACAAGGTAGAGTTTGATTAGGAGCAAGGTATTTGCTTGGTCTCAAAGTAGCTTTTCATAGATTATTAGTTGCAAGGAATAAAATAAACAGTGGAGAACCTGTAAAACACCTTGATAAGGTGATAAAGATTAATATCATCTTATAATGGACATACATCCTGAACCTTCAAATATAATAACCTGAGAAAGACACAACTTCACTTACGTGGTTGTTTCCACCGAGGATGCATAACTTGGATCTAACCACGAGGAAACATCAAAGGGTGATGTGGGAATTTGTATTTGAGAAGAGTCTTTCTTTGTAAGGGGATGAATTGCTTTGGTCATAAGCCTAAGCCCTCTTGGTCATAAAGCTGTTAAATAATCAAATGCAAATATTCCAGACTGTGATTTTAACTGTTATATATATAAATTAGAAACTACCACAACAGGAAGATTTATTCCAATACGCAGACATTAGCAGTTTACTTGTAGTGGCAGGAAAGAATGTAGGGGAGGGAGCGACCATGGAGAGTGTGGGGAGGTGGTGGGAAGAGATATGGGACTCTGAGCTGAGATTGCCAAGTTGTTTTGTTTTGTTTTTTTTTTTACCAGCTGCTGTTCTAAGTGCTTGTCAGAAATTGACTCTTTAAGTGGGAACGCTCAGTAATTGGTCTTTCTCAAAACAAAACACAACACAATTACGATACGAAATAACTTTCTCATAAGTACTTAAGGCTCTGCTGCAGTGATTGTTTACATGGATAGAAGAACGTGAGCCTGGGATTACCGAGTGGTTTTTCGTAGAAACGCCAGCAACCCTACTTGGTGATACCAAATGTGGAGACCCCTTTGAAAAGCCTGATTCTTTGTATCCTAGAAAGTCTTAAAAGCATGCACTGCGAGCGGCCTATGTATCTGTTTGGGTGCCAGGCACTCACGTTCTCTTTTCCTTTCTGGATGAATTCCAGAGCGGGTCGCTGCCTTTTTTAGCCAAAGTTGACAGTTCTAAATAACTTCCCAGCTCCAAATCTAGGAACTAGTTAGGGTTTACGTTGGTTATCGCTTCTGCGTATATCACGCAATGGATTCTGGGAGACCCAGTCTCCGAGGACTGAGGTTAACAGGCCCAGTGTGAACGCTGGACTTCAGTTCCCACAATGCCGAGCGCAAATCTGTAATTTCTGCCGGGGTAATCGCGAGGTGGCCGCCATCTTGCGTACGGCGGTGCAGTTTCCCAGATGCTGAGGGCTTGGGTTTTAGTTCCTCTGTGCTTTGGGGAGTGTTTGCGCTTTGCTTTCACCTTTTCAGATGTTCGTATCTTTCTAGACCACGATTTTATTGGGAGGTAAAAGTCAATGTAGTGTAAGGTGAGTAAATACCCCATTTTAAGTAAGGGTGGGGTAATGGTGGTGACGTTTTTAGGGTTTTTTGGCTTCTCGTCTGCTCTTGGCTGGACCCTTTTGATTAGCCGTTAACGTGGAAGCCCGGAGTGAACCTTTGAGTCTAGGATATCTCTTGAATTCCTAGACAGAACCTGAACATGTCTCCGTTGGGAGAAAGAATCTGGGTGACGCACTTTTGCCCGGGCCACCTTTTTTGGAGGTCAGAAGGCCAGGGGACTCAGGTTGTGTATAGGCCACGCTCTGTTAGCGCAACAGTCTTGCTGTTCCTTGAGACTTTGATGGTATTTCGAATGAGGAAATAAGAAGCTGGGAGGTGGTCGGAGGCGGGGGTGGGGGGGTGGGAGGGGCGTTTCCGATAGGACCGCGTTCTTTACAGTCGTTTTTTGGTTGTTTTTTTTTTTTCAGTTTCTGTGGGCCTACTTGTATCGTTGTCTAGTTCGTCTTTTTTGCCTTTTTCTTGTTCTGCCCTGTTGGAGGAATATCAGAGAGCGGGCAGAATGAAGTATTGAGTAAAACAGGGTTTGGGATTGCACTTTTGAGGGCCCCTAAGAAATTTCAAGGGAAGCAGAATTTATCTTCCAGATTGACCAAGCATGTGGAAAAGATGAACGCGTTGATTTGGGGAATTGCCAGATTTATGTATAAATTATATATATCACTGGGTGACGCACTTTTGCCCGGGCCACCTTCTTTGGAGGTCAGAAGGCCAGGGGACTCAGGTTATATATGATATGTTTGATATATTTGAGTCATTCTTAGTGCAACTGAAGTTATTTTTTTTCTTTTAAAATGCTGTACACCCATTTGGAAACCACTCATATTATTCACAGGAAAAGGGTCTGTAAAGTTCGGCGTTTGAGTATCTAACGTTTGATTGCTAAGGAGATGCTGAGGTTTGGGAACTGGATCCATTTACTCCGAAGGATATAGTGGTTTTAAACAATAAGAGTTTATGAAGACGTTTATCACAGCCAGTTTGGATAGGTGTCAGTTTGGCTAGCAGATTTACTCTTCATCTTAGTACACAGCTGTGTATATCATCAAAACATATATTACTGATTCAATTTTCCAAACTTACTTAAATTCTTCAAGTTTTTAAGTTCAGAGATGCATTTAGGGATGCCTGGGTGCCTCGGTCCTTTAAGCATCTGCCTTGGGCTCAGGTCTGATCAGGTCCTTAGGTTGAGTCCCGCATGGGCTTCTTGCTCAGAAGGGAGCCTGCTTCTCGTTCTACCTGCCGCTCCCCCTCCTTGTGCTCTCTCTCTCTGACAAGTAAAATCTATAAAAAAATGCATCATTTGGATTAAAAGTGAGATATATCTTTTTAAAAAAAGAAAGATCCTTACTTACCTTCAGTGAGGCCCCTCCCTAAATCATGATAACAATAAATAGTGATTCTAAAATTACAGTTTTGTAATTTTTGTATTTTGGGAAAATTTACCATTTAAATGTCTTTTCTGTTTTCTTGTTTCTGAAAAACTGTTTAGATTTTTAAAATATTAGTTATTAATTACATGATTTATTTGCTCCTCAGATGCCTTATGGTGAAATTGAAGCGGAATCCTTGGATCGTGGTGAAGAACTAACAGGTGAACCATGCTATAAAAAACTGAAGTCAACTGAAGAGGTGTATGTTTTTTCCCATCATGGTAGTGCTAATTTCCACAGAATCCAAGAGAAAACTGGGAATGATTGGGTCCCTGTGACCATTGTTGATGTCAGAGGTCATAGTTATCCTCAGGAGGACAAAACCAAAACTACAGACTTGGTGAAACCTGTGCATGATGAGATTCCTGACAATAATAGATCAGATGTTATTGAATCCATTGATCCACCAATTTTACAGGATGCAAGTCCTGCATTGGTATCCAAAGATGATGAGATATATAGCACAAGTAAAGCATTTATAGGACCCATTTACAAACCTCCTGAGAAGAAGAAATGTAATGAAAGGGGAAATCACTCAGATGCAATCAGTGGTACAGATGGCAAAGGAGGACGAGAACAGAAACAGAAATTCAACTCCAAAAAATCAGAGCTTGACAATGAATTATTCCAGTTTTATAAGGAAATTGAAGAGCTTGAAAATGAAAAAGATGATTTGGAAGGCAATTGTAAAGAACCCAAACCCTCTGAGGAAAAACTTATTCCATATTATCAGGACCATTATAATGAGCTGTTAAAATCTGAAGAAGGAAAGGAAAGAGATATTAGTAATGTTCTTCAGTCACATTGTGGTTTTCAGCAGCAGGTGGAGAATGAACCAGGCAAATATCCTTGTAATGGACAAGTAATACCTGCATTCTGTGAAGATTCGTTAATTTCCTTCGGGCCTGAATGGCAGTCAGTACATTCTTTTATAGTACCCCAAGGTCCTCCTCCTCCCATTTTTAACTATCATTTAAATACGCAAAGATTTAATGCTCCACTAAATCCACCATCAAGTATTTTCCATGCTCCAGATGGGTCTCAGCATCAAAATGGCTATTATGTAAATAGTTGTCACATTAACTGGCATTGTTTGACTTTTGATCAGAACAATGACTATATTGACTGTAGTGAGAATACCAGTAGAGATCATTCCTCTACAAATGGTTACAGTGTGCAAGATGCATATGTGAGTAATGGTTTCTGTGAAACCAGGGAAGGATGCTGGAAAGATCCTTCTATGGACAAGCATAATGGAACAGACAGGCTTATGAACCAGCAGTTTCAAGAGGAAAAGTTAAATAAATTGCAGAAGTTACTTATTCTTTTAAGAGGTTTGCCTGGTTCTGGGAAAACAACGTTGTCTCGGTGAGTAAAGGATACCAAGTGAATGCTTGGTAATTCATTACTTAAAAATCATAGATGATAGTAGTTATCAATGACAAATGCTTTCATGTTTCTAGTAGAAAATCTAATTTGTTACACTTGAGAATGACATCTGACAGTGTAAATATTTAAAAAGATGTTTTCTGATGGAGGAAAGGAGAATTGACGTAGAAAGATCCTGCTAAGGGTTTTAAAAATAGATACACTGTGTATAATTATGACAGTGATGTAAGTAAATGCTATTTGAGAACTGTAATGGCCTTCCTTTTTAAGTCAGCTATCCAAACAGAGCTGGACTTAGGGTTGGAAGATTTGGGCTTTTGACCCAGTTATTTCAAACTTTATGGCCTTGGACAAGTTTTGCTATCTGTTAATAGAAAGGGTAATACTTATCTTTCTGGAATAATTGTGAGAAGCAAATGAGATAAACCAAGGAAAAGGAGCTGTGAGTTTGTTTTCAGCACTGTGCAGGTTCATATCTTTGGCAGAGGGAACTCTTTTTTTAAGTTTCAGGAGTCTGAAGTGAGCAGTACCTGAGTTAAATGGAGTTAGAACTGGTTATGTTTTATTGTATGACAGAATGTTTCAAATTCCTGTTTTTGTTTGCATTTTTAAAAAAGAATATTGATGCACTTGAATTCATTTGTGCAGTTGTGAAAAATAGTACAAAGAAAAGCAATACAGATTCTTTGTAGCTTTTGTAGGATGTTTCAGGATTTATGACTGATCAAGAGAAAAAAAATTGTTTGATGTCTTCCAGCAAGGATAAAATCCAAAGAACCGTTGTGTAAATGTTTTATATTTACTTGCAAAACAGTCTAAACAGAAGTTTCTTCAGAAGCAGTAAATTAAAGAAAGATTAAATTTACCATACATTTCAAGCTAGCCTGTAAGCTGTGATCTTTGTAAATGAATTTAAATTTTGCATTTGATTCTTATTTATTTATTTATTTATTTACTTACTTACTTACTTACTTACTGGGACGCCTGGGTGGCTCAGTCAGTTAAGCGTCTGCCTTCAGCTCAGGTCATGATCCCAGGGTCCTGGAATCAAGTGCCGCTTCGGGCTCCTTGCTCAGCGGGGAGCCTGCTTCTCCCTCTACCTGCCGCCCCCCTGCTTGTGTGTGCTCTCTCGCTCTCTCTGACAAATAAGTAAATAAAATCTTAAAAAAAAAAAAAGATTTTTTTTATTTAGTTAGAGAAGGAGATCGAGAGAGCACGAGAAGGAGAGGGAGAAGCAGACCCGCTGAGCAGGGAGCCAGACAAGGGGGTGGGGGCGCTGGATCATGACCTGAGTTGAAGGCAGACGCTTAACCAACCAAGCCGCTCAGGAGCCCCTATTCTTATTTTAATGAAGATTTTGTAGAGAAGGTGAAATTTCAACTCTTTAGAAAGGATAGAAATTAAGAATGAAGTGTCACAAACACGGGCAGTCTCCTAGATTTAGAATGTAATATCAGAAAGAAATAGTTGAAATTTGAAAATTATGTGAAGGAATCTCCTAGCTAGGGTCACCTGACTATGCGTGGGTATAGAATAAATGTAAGAAAGAAAGATTAGATTTGGAACAACATTGGGGTATGTTGAAACTGAAGATGAATAAAGTAGTGGTATTGCAATAGAATTTCAAGGAGATGTAATTGTAGTGGGAGATGATAGAGGTGATATATATGGTACGTATATTTGAGGAATCAGATGTATGTTGTAAGAAAAGAATAGTAGTAACTACCATTTGTGTCATGATTCCAGTTTACAGAGTACTTTCATATATAAAAATCTTGTAAAATGGGTTGTGTTATTTTCATTTCACAGAAGGAACAGAGGCTTAAGAGAGTAAGTTTGGGTTAAAGGGCTTGGGAGAAGTTGTAAGAACTGGTAGGAGGTCAAACGAGAGATATAAATGATAGCGTGTTTCTTCCCTGCTCCTTCACTTTAGTATCTATTGCATGCATGGCCCTATAACTCTCCTGACTTTCAGGAGCTTGTTTAAAGAAGTAGGAGTAGCTGTTTAGGTCACCACATTTTGAATGAAGTAAGATTGGTTGGTTGGGACTGGATAGAAAGCCAGATATTCTGTGGTGGGGGAATGGCTTTACGTAGGAGTTAGCTTTCAAAATGAGCTTTGAAGAAAGAAAGGAGTGAAGATTTGGTAGATCAAAGTTGGGTTGATTTGGGGCACTAAATTTAGCATTGTTTAGTTTTGCTGTGTGGTAGTAAGCATAGGAGGGTAAAGTTCAGATTCTTTGGGGGTAGTTTTCAAGTCCTCTTCTTCCTTAATTTAGTCCTTACCCACCTCTTTGTCTGTTTGTCCTTCTGCATTTGGACTAGCACCTACCCTCCACTGCAGGACACATGATACTTGTTCATTCATTGTTCTCAGGACTCTACTTACTCAAAGGTTCTCTCAAATGCCTCTGCTTTTTGAGGTTTTGATTTATCATCTCAGTCTTCCGTAATCCTTCTGAACTCATATAGTACTTATCGTTACGAAGTTTTTACTTAATTGTTTACCCACAAATTTGCTAACAGATTTTAATGAAGTACGTTTTAGGTTAAATTCTAACACAAGCACTGACTTTAAATATTTATGAATAAGCTAGTGCAAAACAGTTCATACACCTTTGTAGGTATGTGAAAGTGCTAGCTCTTTGTCCTTTTAGGCAAACTGACAGCGCTTTGATGAAAGGTTTATTTCAGGCAGAATTCAACAATTTCTAGCTGTGGAATTTTGTTACCATTGTAATTGACATCAGCTAAACAGAATCCTCTGAGTCTGTGGTTGACACAGGACCCTTCAGGGATCAAGCCTTGGGTGTCATTCCTAGGGGTCTGGGCTATAGATTTTGCTAGATTCATATACCCTGTTCATATGAGGAGAAAGGGTGAACCTAAAATATTTTAGCTAATATGCATTTCTTCTGCTGTACTGATTTCACCAATGAGTGAATATATTTTCTGAAACAGGCCACTAATTTCATTATTATATTAGCAAAATGTTGGGAGTTGATCAGAGATAAACATTGGAAGCACTTTCAGAGAGGAGAGATGTTACACTGCTGATTTTGAAGATGGAGGAAGGGACCATGAGCCCAGATAGGCAGGTGGCTTTTAGAAGCTGAAAAATTTGGCAAGGAAACAGGTTCTCCTTTGGAGCTTCCAGGAGGAATGCCAGCATACCCATACCTTGATTTTAGCGCGGTGGAACTGATTTCAGACTTCTGACCTTCAGAACTATAATACAATAAGTGCATGTTGTTTTAAGCCACCAAATACGTGGTAATTTGTTATAGCAGCCATAAGAAATTACAGTTTAAAGAGAGATGGGAAGAGATTTTTTTTTTCCTCCCTGCTTTTGGAGAAGATCTCGGTTTAAACTCCAGAGGAAAGATTGACCTTCCCTTATGTTGATCTCTATTCTTAATTTAAAGAGTGTTTAGAGAATGAGGTGCCCCAGTAAAGTGGTTTTGGGGTAGGGGTATGCAGGGGCCACTCAGTAAATAAGGAGGTAAAGGGTTCATGAAGTGTCAGTTCTCAGATTTTTTTGAGAAAATCACTTCTCTTTGTAAATGCACACGGATGTATTAAAATAATGTACAGTTCTTAGAAGTTGTAAAAATGAAGTATGAAAAAAATAAAAACTATGAAAATTAACTCAATAATAGGCCATTTGGGGAAGTAGGGTTCTCAAAACAGGGTTAAGGAACAGGATTCACTTGTTCCTTACTTCAGTGAAGAATTAGAAGCACAGACTGGGTTAGTTATCTGGCTGTGTAACAAATTACCTTATTAAAAACTGAGTTAAAGTAACAAACATTTACCATCTCACAGTTTCTGAAGGACACGCGTCTGCGTGAATTATCTGGGTGCCTCTGGGTCAAGGTCTTTAACAATGCTTTGATTAAGGTGTAGGCTAGGGCTGTGTTCTGGTCTGAAGGTTTATTTTGGGGTGGATCTTCTTGGAAGATCTCCCTTGAGGTTGTCAACAAGACTTAAGTTACTTGTGAGCTGTTAGGTCGAGGGCCTCCGTTAGTTGCTGGCTATATACAGGCTGGAGACCTCTCTTGGTTCTTTGCTCCCTGGGCTGCTTTCCGCACACAGCGTGATGAGACAAAGTGAGCCAGCTCTGAGCCCAAGACAGAAGCCACTTTTTTTTCCTGTAATCTAGTATCAGAAGTGACATTCTGTCAGTGCCATATTCCATTAGTTAGAAGGTAGTCACTGACTTCCACCCACACTCAAGGGGAAGGGATTATATAAGGGTGTGAATACCAGGAGGCAGGCATCATTGTAAGCCATTAGTTTTGGCTCTCCCATGCAGCTATGTAACTCTGGTGGCCTGATTTCTGAAGTCATTTTCTTTTTCTGGATTTGTAAATATGAAATTAGCAAGGTTGTTATGAATATTAAATGGGTCATGACGTTCTGAAAAAAAAATCAAATAGCGAGTGGGCCTATATCTGATGTTTTTTTATTAGATACTTCATTTTTCAGAGTTCTAAGTTTTGATGTTTGGAGAATTCATTTTAATACCTTATTTGTGAGAGTTTTAATAGAATCTGACTACAAGAATTTTGAAAATACTAATATTCCTAAGTAATTTATCTTTTTTTCAGATGGTTTGTATGGCATCAGATATATCCAAATTGATCATAAGTATTTTTTTAATATAAGTCCCCCAAATAAAGCTTCATAGTTTGAGATAATTCATGGAATTTTATTTTGTTTTATTTTTAAAGATTTTATTTATTTATTTGACAGAGACACAGCGAGGGAGGGAACACAAGCAGGGGGAGTGGGAGAGGGAGAAGCAGGCTTCCCGCTGAGCAGGGAGCCTGATGCGGGGCTCGATCCCAGGACTCTGGTATCATGATCTGAGCTGAAGGCAGATGCTTAACGACTGAGCCACCCAGGCGCCCCACGACTAGAGCCACCCAGGTGCCCCAGATAATTCATGGAATTTTAAAAAGCTGCATGAACAGCCTGGAAAGAAAAAGTCTCTCTCGAAGCTAAAATTATTTGCTATAATTATGATTTATATATTTAAGATGTTCTTCAAAGAGGTTTATTCATGTTTGATGTTTACTTGGTTTAATGATATAAATTGATGTGCTGTCTCCTACCCTCTCTCTCCACGCCTCCCCCATCCCCACCTTTTTTGAGGTTAAAACATTCCTTGGATACAAAAGCTACTCTACTCTTACAGTATGGTATTACTAACATCTGAAAAATCACGCAAATAAAGTAATAGAATGGAAAAAATGAAACAAGGTATCTAAGAAAGATGGTATCAGTTTTCTGGTACTGTTAAATATAATTAGGTTATCATAAGGTTGATTATGATCAGAATCATTTTAGGTGATTGAGCTTTGGTTTGGAATGCTAATAGTTAGTGTAGCATATTTTTTTTTTCAATACGAGGCTTGAACTCACACCCCTGAGATCAAGACCTGAGCTGAGATCAAGAGTTGAATGCTTAACCAACTGAGCCATCCAGGTGCCTCATATTGTAGCAGTTTTATATTCTAGGTTATCTGTATAAACAAATAAGGTGTCAAATATGTTAGGTGGTATATTTTGGAAAAATTACGGTGGTTTAAGAAAGAAATCCAACTCTAGACTCACAACCATTTAATTTCATTTGCTTTGCTTGAAATAATTTGAACTGTAATTCTGTAAGTGGAAATGCATGTTTAAATCTTTTTTTATTTTTGTCTATGCAATTTTATTTTTATTATAAAATATACAGGCATAACTTTTTTAATTGTACTTCATAGATACTGCACTTTTTACAAATTGAAGGTTCGTGGTAACCCTGTGTCGAGCAAGTTTTTGGCTCCTTTCTTCCAATAGCATTTGCTCACTTAGTGTCCTTATGTCACTTGGTTATTCTCACAATATTTCAAACTTTTTTATTATTATATTTGTTATGGTGATCCATAACAAATATTGTATTGTATTGTATTGTAGTTGTTTTGGGGTGCCATGAGCTGTGCCCATATAATAAGATGGCAAACTTAATTGATAAGTGTTAATGTGTATTCTGACTGCTCCACCCACCTGCTGTTCTCCCATCTCTCCCTATTTTCAGGCCTTACCTATTCCCTGAGACACAACAATATTGAAATTAGGCCAATAAATAACCCTACAGTGGCCTTAGTGTTCAAGTGAAAGGAAGAGTTGCACATCTCTCACTTTAAATCACAGGCTGGAAGTGATTAAGGTTAGTGAGGAAAGCATGCCAAGAGTCCAGATAGGCTTCTTGAGCCAAACAGGCAGCCAAATTGTGAGTGTGAGAAAGGTTCTTGAAATTAAAAGTGCTACTCCAGTGAACACACAGATGATAAGAAAGCAAAACAGCCTTGTTAGTATGGAGAAAGTTGGAATAGTCTGGATAGTAGATCAAACCAGCCACAACATTCTCTTAAGCCAAAGCCTAACCCAGAGCCCTAACTGCAGTTCTCTGAAGGCTGAAAGAGGTGAGGAAGCTACCAGAGAATAGTTTGAAGCTGGCAGAGGTTGGTTCATGAGGTTTAAGGAAAGAAGCTGTCTCCGTAACATAAAAGTACAAGGAAAAACAGCAAGTGCTGGTGTAGAAGCTGCAGCAAGATCTAGTGGAGATAATTAATGAAGATCTAGCTAAGATAATCAACAGAAGTGGCTACACTAAATGACAGATTTTCAATGTAGACAAATGGCCTACTGGAATAAGTTGCTATTTAGGATTTTAATAGGTAGAGAGGGGAAGTCAGTGCCTTAGCTTCAGTAGAGACTGACTCTTCTCAGGGGCTAATGCAGCTGGTGACTAAGTTGAAGCTAGTGCTCATTTACCATTCTGAAAATCCTAGAGCCCTTAAGAATTATGCTAAATGTACTCTGCCTGTGCTCTTCAAATGGAACAGCAAGGCCTAAATGACAGCGTATTTGTTTACAACATGGTTCACTGAATATTGGAAGCCCACTGTTGAGACCTATGGCTCAGAAAAAAAGATTCCTTTCAAAATACTACTTCTCACTGACGATGCACCTGGTCACCCAAAAGCTCTGGTGCAGATGTAGAACAAGATTAATGTTGTTTTCATGCCTGCTACCACAACATTCATTCTTCAGCCCGTGAATCAAGGAGTAATTTTGAATTTCAAGTCTTATTATTAAGAAATACATTTTGTAAGGCTATAGCTGCCATACATACTGATTCTTGGATGTATCTGGGCAAAGTAAATTGAAAACCTTCTGGAAAGGATTCACCATTCTAGATGCCCTTAAGAATATTCATGATTCATAGGGTGAGGGCAAAATATTAATATGAAGAGGAGTTTAGAAGTTGATGCCAGCCTCATGGATGACTTTGAAGGGTTCAAGACTTCAGTGGAGGAGACAACTGCAGATGTGGTGGAAACAGCAAGAGAACTAGAATTAGAGGTGGAGCCTGAAGATGGGACTACATTGCTGCAATCTCATGATCAAACTTGAACAGATGAGGAGTTGCTTATTATGGATAGCAAAGTGGTTTCTTGAGATGAAGTCCACTAGTGAAGATGCTGTAAAGATTGTTGAAATGACAACAAAAGATTTAGAATATTCCATAAACTTAGTTGCTAAAGCAGTGGCAGGGTTTGAGAGGATTAAGTCCCGATTTTCAAAGAAGTTCTCTTGTGAGTAAAATGCAATCAAACAGTATCACATGTTACAGAGAAATTGTTTAGGAAAGAGTCAATGGATGGGGTAAACTTCATTGTCCTATTTTAGGGAATTGCCACAGCCACCCCAGCCTTCACAACCACCAGTCTGATCAGTCAGCCTACATCAACATTGAGGCAAGACCCTCTGCCAGCAAAAAGATTCCAACTCTTTGAAAGCTCAGATGATGGTTAGCATTTCTTAGCAATAAAATATTTTTGAATTAAGGTGTATATGTTGTTTTTTTTAGTAATAACTTTTATGCACTGGGAAACCAGAAAATTAATTTTGACTTCCTTTATTGTACTTGATTGTGGTGGTCTGAAACCAAACCTGCAGTATCTCTGAGGTATACCTGTATACAATTTTATAATAAGCTGAGGAAAGGAGAGAGATGTTTAATAGTCAGAGTCCTTTGAATTAGGGGGTATGTATTCTTGAATCATTCCATGACAATACTCTTGTATTCTCAATCTCTTCTACCACTTTCCAGTCCCTCCCCTCTGAAAAAATTACAGAGTGATACCCAGTTGCCTAATGGCTGGGGGTGGAGGGGGGGACAACAAAATATTTCTGTCATTGTTAGATCCAGATTATTCTCTTAACTGTGTTTTACCTTTTCTCAGCACACTCCTAGTGTCATTCATGAGTCACTGGCTTTGGGAATTCTCTGAACACTAATCAATCCGTACTTAAAAATTTAAGGTGGTATCATATTGTGAGAATGAAATTTGATTGTTTATTTATTGTGAAGAGTGTATTCTTTAGTGCTTAACAGTTGACTTCATTTAGTAATGTAATCTCTTAGCAGTTTTAAAGTTTGATTATACTTTGGAGGATCACAGGTTATTTCACAACCTTAAGTCTCAAGCTATTTCTGACTTCCACTTTTAGGTCATACATGTTTGCACTTTGTGGAAATGAGTTTAGTAAAGCTATCTTAGGTCAAATAGAGTTTTCCCCAGATGAATTGCTTGTTTAGGCTTATTTGCCTTTTAGGTTACTTATTGCACTAAATTTAGGCAATTTTAGACACCACATAAAATTTCTCTAAAGTTATAGACATTGGGGAGGGTATGTGCTATGGCGAGCGCTGTGAATTGTGCAAGACTGTTGAATCACAGATCTGTACCTCTGAAACAAATAATGCAATATATGTCAAGAAAAAAAAAGAAGAGGGGGAGGGGAAGAATGGAGGGGGAGACTAACCATGAGAGACGATGGACTCTGAAAAACAAACTGAGGGTTCTAGAGGGGAGGGGGTGGGGGGATGGGTTAGCCTGGTGATGGGTATTAAAGAGGGCACGTTCTGCGTGGAGCACGTGGTGTTATGCACAAACAATCATGGAGCACTACATCACAAACTAATGATGTAATGTATGGTGATTAACATAACAATAAAAATTTAAAGAAAAAAATTCACTAAAGTTAAAACATGGATAATAGTTGACATAATTTTGGGATTGGTTGAAGAGTGTTTTTAAAAGTGGCAATACAAATGCCACTTAGTACAAATGCCACCTAAAAAGTTTTTGTTACTGGTTGTAATTGTGTAGATTTAAGTGTGAAGTGATACTTGAAATCTGAAAACTTCTTAAGGTTCAGCTCCTGTGCTATTCTGTTTGCAATATACTTACAGGTAAGTACCAGAGATTCATTTAATAAACTTTCCTGTGTGACTTATCTTTGATGGTTATAGATTTTATAAATGGCACCTTATGATTTCTTTCATTAACAGAATTCTGCTTGGTCAGAGTCGTGATGGCATTGTATTCAGCACTGATGACTATTTTCACCATCAAGATGGGTACAGGTATAATGTTAATCAACTTGGTGATGCCCATGACTGGAACCAGAACAGAGGTTTGTTTTGGGCCAAGTCTCTGGGATGGAATATTTGACTAGGAGTCAGAAGACTTAAGTTTTTATTCTCAACTTGACTTTTACCGGCTGAATGACTTTGGCAAGCCATTTAAATAGCTTTGAGACCAATTTGGTCATCTATTAGAAATGATAGTTATACTTGCCTTACTTGATCAAGGTTGTTAGAGAATCTAGATAGGTATATTTTGCAAATTGTAAATAGTGTACCCATATAAGCTGGTAAAATAGAGGTGTGGGATATTTTGATATCCTTTATTTTATACCTCATGAATAAATTCAGACAACTCTTCATACTATTGTATATTCTCAAAAGGTATTTCCCTAAGAGTAATGCTAATGTTTTCTAAGGCTAGAAATAAAATGCCTGTGAATATTAAAGTTTTTCCCATTGATACTACTCTACAAAAAATCTACTTAATTCATTTTTAGAAGTATATCTCTCAATTTTTTCTCATTCTGGAATTGACTGCACATTTGAATCACCTGGGGACCTTTTAAAAAAACTTACGCCGGGGGGCGCCTGGGTGGCTCAGTCGTTAAGCGTCTGCCTTCTGCTCAGGTCCTGATCCCAGGGTCCTGGGATCGAGCCCCGCATCGAGCTCCCTGCTCGGCAGGAAACCTGCTTCTCCCTCTCGCACTACCCCTGCTTGTGTTCCTGCTCTCACTGTCTCTCTCTCTGTCAAAAAATAAAGTCTTAAAAAAATTAAAAAAAAATAAAAATAAAAAAAATTATGCCTGAATCTTAGCCCCAGAGATTCTGGTTTAGTTGGTCTGGAGTGGATCTAAACACCAATATTTTTTGGGAAAGTTACCCAGATATTCTAATGTTGCAATAAGGATTGAAAACTTTTGATCTAGGACTAAGTAAGTTCTTTTTTAAAAGATGAAGAGTGTATTAATGATTAAACAAATTGTTTTTATTGCGAAAAAATTTAAATCTAACTTAAGTTACAATGAACCCCATACCTCCAATCACTCAGAATTATTATGAGTTATCAAGATTTTGCCTTATTGGCTTTTATCTTTTTTGTTTTAACACCCTCTCTTTTTATTTGCTAAGGTTTTTAAAGCAAATTTTAGACATCAGATAGCATGCATTTCAAATTAACCTTTTTCTTACTTAATGGCATCTTATTTAATTGCAGTGCCATTGTCACACCTAAAAACACAAAAAAACAAACAATTCCTTGACATCATGTAATACCCAGCCTGTAATGAAATTTCCCATTGTCTTACGTATTTCTTTACAGTTGTTTTTGAATCAGGATACAAGCCAGATCTTGGCAGTACATTTAGTTTTATGTTTCTTTTAAGTATATTAATCTCTTTCCTCTTTTTATCCCCTCTTTTTGCCTTTATAACATTAATTTGTTGCAGAAGTTGGTTGGTTGTCCTATAGAATGTCCCATATTTTGTGGTTGTCTGTTCGCTTCCTTGTGGTAACTTATTTAACCTGTTTTTCTTTCTCCTGTATTTCCTTAAATAGAAGTTAGTTTTAGACAGGAGGATTTATTAGGTTCAACTTATTTTTTTGGTAAGCATATTTCTGGTTGTCCCAGTTTTAGTGATATTAAGATTGATTAATAGCTTCAAAGGGACAGCCTACTCCTTCCATTATCAAGTTCCGTATCAACCTTATGTGTAATGGTTTTATCCAACAGTGGATTGTTTCCTGAATGAGACTTTTCATTAAAGGTTGCAAAATGGTGATTTTCTAGGTCTAACATTCCTTCCATGCTAGAATTCTTCTGTAATGAAGAATTTTCACCTAGAAATAGCAATTAGGGTTGTCCTAAATTTAGTACAGTATACACAGGAAAAACAGGATGAATGCTTTTCTTTTTAATTGTCAATTTTCACAGTAAGGAATTACAGTGAGGATATTTTTGAGTAAAACGTTTAATGTGAAATAAGTTTGATTATAAGATTGTTTCCTAGTATTGGTTCTCCACAGAACATTATGCCACAGAACATTACTGCGTAAATCAAGTAATGATGAATTGCAATTCCAAAAAATGTTTGGAGTTACTGGACTAAGTTAAGGAAAATAGTAGTAGGTGTTGAGTGGAATGAATAAAGGCAGTGAACAGAGAAAGTATACCTTTGGTGGACTGAAATTTGTATCGGACATTTTTATCTCTTTGCAGTACCAGCCTAGAATATTACAATAAATGTTTATGCTATGTGAGTTATACTTGCTGAATAAAAAAATGGTGTTTAAACTGCTGGTTTTATTATCAGTATAGCATAAATTTTTCCAAGGTAATGATAACTAGCGATTATTGAACATTCTGAAAATTATAAGCATGACTTACTTAGGACTAAATTTCTCTTTTTAATAGATGTTTATTGAACACTTTTAAATGCCAGTTACCATTCTGGGAATCTCGTATGCTTCATGTGTATTATTAGAAGAATCTTAAATTCATGTTAGACCACCTATAAATTAAAAACCTCTTTGAGGTGTCGGTCTGTTTCTTAGAGTATGGTGGTTATTTTGTTTAAGAAATGACTTGTTATTAGGGTATTCAAACATTATTTACTTAGGAACTCTTTCCTCCTGGAGTACACTGGAATGTGGTATCGCATGATGATTTTTCACGGAAAGAGGATAATCTCCCCATTCCTGCAAATCACAGATTTAATTTGATTCTTAAGCTTCTCCTTGGAGGTGCCAGCCTAACCATTAGACATTAAGAGGATTAGTTTAGTAAGTTTTTTTTTTTTAATGAAAGATTTGATCACAGTTTATGATTGGGGATAGAGCAACGTAAGATGATAGCGTCTTGATATCCTATTTATGACCCAAATTCTAAATTTCTTTTGGTATTTAGAGACATTCTCTCCCAAATATGTATTCCACCATAGTCATTACTACTTAACTAACCTTGAGAATACTGTCTGCCCTTAGACATCTGTATAAGTGTTTTCATTATGTAGAACTTAGTGTTTTGAATTCTAAGTCCCAGCAAAATTTCCATATCATTGCCTTTTGCCTCAGCCTTGTAAATTTTATTGTAGGTTCTTAATTATGTTTCTTGTCTATTTACACTTAGGGGTACACACACTCCTGTTGTTAACAGTGGCTCACTGTGGCAGTGATGCTTATCTCGTGGGGGAAGAGATGGCAAAGGGATAGGAAGATGTAGTTTAGAAAATTTCCATGTGATCCCAGCTCCTAATTTGAGAATTCTGGTCCTAAAAAATACTTACAAAGTCAGTTGAACTGTAGTACTTAGCTACTTGGTATATAAGTTTCTTATTTCAGAAGCATTATTTGTAATTGTAGAACTTTGGAAAATACAGTTAAGCATAGATTGCTGATATTCCTCTTACCCTCAGATGACCACTTTTGATATTTAGTAACTCTTCCTGGATCTCTATATTTTGACCAAAATAAGGTCATACTTACATATTGTGTTATAATTTGCCATTTTCAGTTAACAGTCTTCATCTTTCCATGTCAGTAAAGGCTCATCTCTTTTCATACTCAGACTGTATTCTAAGTAACTTGTTCATATATTTCCTATAAATCAAAGTTAGCTATAGACTGAAGGCTTTCTTAGTTGTGAGTTCAACAAAATGTTTTTCCCCAAATGTCATTGTCAAAACCAGTATCTGGTCCAGAGAATACACATTGCCCGTGGTTATGTCTCTTAATTCCCTTTTAATCTAGTGGAGTCTTTTTGTTGTTGTTGTTCACTGCACTAACTCAGGAAATTGCATAGTTTTAGTTTTAAGTACAGAGATGTAGAAATTTTCTTAATAATGTTTAAGTTTTATTTTGTATATTTTAATCTAATAGTTTTCTGGTTTTTGTTTTTTAAATTTATTTTTTTATTTCAGCAAAACAAGCTATCAATCAGGGGAGATCTCCAGTTATAATAGACAACACTAATACACAAGCTTGGGAAATGAAACCATATGTGGAAATGGTAAATATGTGATATGAGAGAGTTTTAATATTTTATTCTTACCCATTTTTTCATACTCTGAAATTTTGGTTACTTTGATCATTACATAAACATTTGTCCCTGTTTTCTAAAGAGGTGTGTTCGTTAACTTAGTTTTTAAAAAACTGGGGTTGGTACTTATTAAGAAATATGCTCATCTTGTTAGTTTTGCCTGGACTTTGAAGACAGTAATTCGAAATTGTCCGGTTATGTGGTCTTAACATTTTTGTGGACATATTATTTAAAAGTAAAATGTTTCTTGGTCAAACAAATTTAGAAGTATTGTCTAAATGAAACTTCTATTTATCTGCCTTCTTTTTTACTTTAAGAAGTATTCTCTGGGTTTTTGTTTTCTTCCTTTCCTTTGTGTAGGCCATAGGAAAAGGATACAGAGTAGAGTTTCATGAACCTGAAACTTGGTGGAAATTTGATCCTGAAGAATTAGAAAAGTAAGGCACTCAAATTTTTTTTAATCCTTATCTTTGAAAATTTTTTTTGAGTCTTTATCTTCTTTTTCTCTTCTCCTTTACACAGTTTCTTTACTGTTTACTAGCTTTTGCTTGTCATATGTTTGCTATTTGTGCATAGGGACTACTACTCACTTTCTGTCAAGAGGAACATTGACTTAAAGTTTCTTGGGATACCTTGCCTTGGTCAGTTTTATTAAATTTTCCTTGTTAAGTATGTGTTATTTTTTCATATGTAAATTCCTACATTGTTTCATAGTTTATTGAACGCTAGTGGAAATCCAGAACACTTTGGAAAAGTTAGAACTTTTCCTTCTGGTTTTCTGCAGACCACTTACCTGCATTGCCCTTCAAACTTTTCTTCCCATCACCTTTTTACTTGGGGCTTTCATCTTCTTTCTCTTTTCCGTCTTTACTACTACAGATTCGTAATCTGTAGATTCATAATCCAAAATCCTTGTAATCAGTGTGTTTTAGAATTCAGGGTTTGTTTTTGTTTGTTTATTTTTTTAATAGAAAGGTAATATGGTACATACACAGAATCATAATACCCCTAGCAGAGTTTGGGGTGGCATGTCATAATCACACATCTTATTTTTTCTGTGGCAAATCACTACTAGTCCTCTAATTAGATAAGAAAGATTCTACATAATCTAGTGTTCGTTCTGATTAAACTATTAGATTAAAATATACTTTGTGCTGCCAAATGAGTACAGGTTTGGTTAGATTTTGCTGCCATATGAATCAACGAAAAACTGAGTTTTCAGACCATTTTAGATTTCAAAATTTGCGGTGAGAGATTATGGACTTGTATTACTTTCAGCCCTGGCTTTCAATTTGTGTTTACCTTCGTCCCTTTCCCCTCATGTCACTGGTTTTCCTGACTCTTTTTCTTTGTTTTTATTCTCCCTCTCTGCTTTTCCTAACAACTTTGAAATGTAATTCACATACCTTACATTTTATGCATTAAAAGTTTACAATTTATGGTTTTCAGTGCAGTTGACTCTGCAGGGGTTAGGGGTGCTGACCTCTGGGACAGTCGGAAATCCACAGATAATGGATTTTTTAGTCCATTTTTGATGATGACTTTTGATTCCCCCAAAATCTTAACTACTAGTAGCCTACTGTTGACCAGAAGCCTTACTGATAACACAAACAGTTGATTAACACCTATTTTGTATGTTACCTGTATTACATACCGTATTCTTACAATCAAGTAAGTTAGAGAAAAGAAATTGTTATTAGGAAAATCATAAGGAACAGAAAGTACATTTACAGTACTATGCTATATTTACTTTTTATTTTTTTATTTAAATTAAATCAATTAACATACAGTGTTTTATTAGTTTCAGAGGTAGAGTTTAGTGATTCATCAGTTGCATATAATACCCAGTGCTCATTACACCAAGTGCCCTCCTAGGTCCACTTACATGTGGCTTTTTTACTGGACTATATTTATTGAAAAAGTCACATGTAAGTGCACCTGCCACAGTTTGAACCTATGTTGTTCAAGGGTCAACTGTATATGCACAGAGTTGTGCAGCCATGACTTCCTTTTTTTAAAAACCAGGTTTTTTTTTCCCCACCTCAGCTTGCCTTCTTTCAGCTTAAATGTTATTCTGTGTATGATGTTCAACTAATTTTTTTTCCCCCTTGCCTTTTATTCATTTGGTTACCCTTTTTTCCCTTTCTGATTTGCACACTATGTGTTCATATGTGAGTAAAATGGATAGGTTTATTAATAACTAGTATTATTCATCTGCTTCTGTGTGTATAATACACCTCAGGTAGACGAGCTGTTTGGGTTATGCAGAATAAATGAATTGGTGAAATACAGTTAGGCTTCATTAACATTGAGGGACTGTTGAAATTTATTAGAATTCTTAATATAATTGACTTTACAAAATAAAGTCAGTTTAACTGATATGTAGAATAGTTTGACAGATTTTTTTTTTTGGTAAATTGATGGAATTACCAATTTTGACATCTTGTGGATTTAGTCATATCTTGCCAGTTTCAACTTCAGATCCCTCTTCTTTTTTCTTTTTTTGTCTTCTAGTCCTTTTTGCTTTTTTCTTCTCATCTTGAACATAAACATAAATAGTTTTAAAAAGTAAACATTTCCTTTGTGTCTCTTTTCTGGGAAAAATTAATTAGCATTAGTAAATCTAGAACTATAACATTAAATGTAAAATATGTTCCCATGTGTTTTGCCATGTCCAAGTCAAGTTATAGAAAACTACAAGGGTAAAATAAATTGGAAAATGTTTTTTGAGGGTCAAGAATAATTTTTAAACCACTTTTTGTTGTCATAATTAAACTCAGAAAATTACATAAAATATAAATACACAGCTTAACAAATTTCTTGTAAAGGCAAATATTCATTTAACCATTACCCATGTTATAAGAACGTTATCAACACCTCAGAAGTTATTTGAATTCCTTTTCCCAGTAAGAATTCCCTGGTAATTACTTCCTTCTCTTTAATGTGTCTTTTTTTCTTTCTTTTTTTTTAATGTGTGTTTTTTTCTAAACATATTTTGCCTAACACCATAGTTTAATTTTTTTTCAAACTTTATGTAAATAAAGTACAGTATGTGTTCATTGTGTCTAGTTTCTGTCACTCAACATTGTGAAATATGTCCAAGTTGTTACATCTCTAATAATAATTTGGTATTGATAATAAATTTTAAAAATGCAAAAGGAAGTGTCCTAAAATAACTTTGAAAAGTGATATTTTATATTGATTTTTATAATCCTAAAAGTCCACTCATTTCCTCTATAATTCCCAAAACACTGTCTCATAATCTTTGATTTTGTTATTAAAAGAGGGGGGAAGATTAACTCCATGGTTCAATGAATTGGTAGTTTTGTGTGAGGAAGATTTTATCAGTTAACATTTTGCTGTGATTTATGGTATCTTTAAACCTTTTTAAAATATTGTTAAAATTTTTGAGAGCCAGTATAAATTTTTTTTTGTCTAAAATGTGGGTGAATGAGATGTATCTTTTAGTATTTATTTGTAAAATATAATCTAGAATCTGTACTCTGTTACTCTAAAACAGTTTAATCTCTAAGCCTATACATTCTAAAGAATTAAAATCCTTTTCTTTTTTGGTAGGAGGAATAAACATGGTGTATCTCGAAAGAAGATTGCTCAGATGTTGGATCGTTACGAATACGAAATGTCCATCTCTATTGTAATGAATTCAGTGGAACCGTCACACAAAAGCACACAAAGACCTCCTCCTTCACAGGGGAGACAGAGGTGGGGAGGCTCTCTAGGCTCACATAATCAAGTCTCTGTTACAAATAATCATTAAACTGGCTATTTTCAGCTAACACATTTGTTGGCTTGCCCTTGAAAAAAATTAGTGAGCCTATCTTGAAGTTTAAATAGTTTAAAATTAAAAAAAAAAAGACTATGTTGCCTCACAAAGGATGTTCCCAGCAAGTTGTTTAAATCCTAAAGTGTAAATAAAAATTATATAAAATTGTTTTTTAAATGTTTTTATAATTTTTTGTTGTTAATCCTTTGAGTTATTATGAAAACACCTTAGTAGAGTGGGCAGGACTAGAATAGTTTTTCTACAACTGAATTTTAAACTAATTGTATCTGTTTTGTAGATAATATTGAGTAGTTTTGTAGCTCATACCTAAATCTAACTTTTCATAAAATACTAGTATTTTTTCTTAACTACCTTAAATATATAAGAAATACTTGATACAGGCACCTCTGTTGATTTTTCTATTCATTATACAGGTAAAATTATGTTTCTGCAAATTCATCTATATGACAAAAATATTTCTAAGCTATAATTAGCATATCACTTAAATTCTCCATCAAATGCTATACAGCAGTAAGTGTATCAACCACCTGGGTGGTTTTCTCCATAATATACATTTTCATAATATATAATATATCCATATTCATCACCCTTCTCAAACCATCCCCCTATCCCTCCACACTCTCCGGTTCTGGAATGGATAAATAGGGAAATCACTGTATACTTAGAAAAAGCTTTTCAGGTTATTCTGGTAATATATCACTTTTCTCTATTTAACACTGTATAATTCTAATATAAAAAATATTTTGGACAGGTCCTTAGCATTAATTGTAAGATTTGTCTTGTAGGATATTTATTTCTCCTGGTCTCAGTTTTTTTGTAGACCAACTATATGTCTCATTGGATAGTTTTCTTTATTAGATTGTGTTTTGTCACTTAAAATTTAAAAACTGAGATGGAATTCATTTCTGAGATTTTGTAATTCATCCTCATCTTTGATTTGCTCTTTTTAAGGAAGAAACCCTAGCTAGTTATATCCTATTAAAAAAAATGTTACGACCCCTCAGATGTTTTACATGGTAATATTTCATGGCCTATTTACTTCCTCCTAACCCAGCCCATCCTAAATCTAGTAGTTTTTCATCATACATTGTTTAAACCTTTTGCTGTTCTTTTCAACCTTTAAAGGTTCTCCCACATCTATATATTACTTTTTTAAGTAATACTAAGTGCAAGTCTCAAAACTAAATACAGTACTCTCAACAAGGTCTGTATTACATTGCTTTTAGTGAGATAAGAATATGATTTCTATTTATTTGTACTATTCACTGCTGTTTACGTTTGAATTGGTATTACTTTGCTTTATTTTGTTTAACTTGTGTTTGTATGTATTCATCTTAACTAAATATGATACAGTAAATATGCTAACTCATGTTTTGTGTGTAAATGTATATATATTTATACATACACACATTTTCTTCACTATTTTCATGTATTCTTTTGTTTCAGAGTAATACTTCTTGGTATTTAGGCTTGTGTTTTTCCAGTATTTTATTATGTACATTAGCACATTTTGAAAATAGTATAGAGGATTTAATTTGGGGACAGATGAAACAACTGTCAGATGTATACTGTGTGTTCCTTTCCCTCTGTCTTTATAAAACTGTTAGGAGTAATAGTGCTATGAATCTATAGTTTTTTGATTAATAGATGCTTAATTAGCCAAATTTATTTTAAGGAAGTAGAGAATTGCCTTTGAAAGATACAAATTATAAAGAAATATGTTCATGTTAGACAGTAAGTCTGAAATAAATTTCCAGATTTTATTATGGATCAACTTCATCTTTCAGTACTGCTGAGTACTTAAATAATCATGCAGAGATCATTAATCATTCCTGATTTTTTTTTAGTATAAATCCATACTGAGGCAGGGAAATTAACATTCTGAAAAGGTTTGAAGGTTTTTTTTAAAGACAAAATTAATAGTTCCTCTAAGCATATTAAATTAATATGGTTCCCCCATTAGCATTCTGGTTAATTTTGTTTTTATTTTTTGAACAATAACAAGTATGAATATGCAATGAAAGATACCAAAATCACTGTTGCAAGTCATTGCTTTGGTTTTAAGTCTATAAAAATCTTTAAAAATCAAAAAATTTACTGATTAAAGATATTTCATCAAAATTTTTCTTTTATTCAGATATTCTTGTTTTTTTATGCCCCCAGTTATATTCTTAATGGAATAGGCCCCAGTTCCTATGCCCCATCCTAAGTTGGTCTCCATCCCAAACAATAAACGTGGGGCATTAGTCATCATATTTAACTAAGATAAAATACATTTAGTTAAGTAGAATGCAGCTTAACCTAAGTTGTTTTTTCATAGGCTTGGTATAAACACCACTTCCTTTTTGATAAACGAATTTATAGTTTTCTATATGTCATAATCCTGCTAGCAAAAATACTTAATGTGGTAATTAAGTTGAACTTATGGTACTGCTTTTTAAATAGATAATCTTTATTTTCAATATTCACCTTTTCAAGAAATGTTAACTTTTTAATATTTTATGTCTGTTTTAAAGTAAGATTGTTATAAAAGATCGGGTTGTATTTTGTTGTTGGAGCAGTAGGGTGGATTTAAGTATTTGAAGTTTGGTTATTTCTTGTCTAATATAGACTGTGGAATTTTCTAGTCTTATGCATAGGTAAGTTTTGAAAGAGTTCATGATTTCAAAGGATATGAAATCTTTATTTTGACCACATTTGAGTTTTTGTTATTGCAGAAATATCTGATTTTCTGAGCCTGGTTTTATAAGTATTTATAAAGAAAATTCGTGGTGTTCTCTTTGGAAAATGTTGAAGAAATGTGGTTGTTTATATATTAGTGCCTTGATTGTATAGGTTTGCTAGTCTTTATTGAAATTTTGTGTAGTATTCTAACATGAATGCAGTAACTGAGAATTTGTTATTAGGGCCTAAGATTTGTGTGTGTGTCTGTGTGTGTGTGTGTGTGTGTGAGATTGTTATTAACATTTGCAACTCATTAAATAGAATTAACACCTTAGTCTAGAGTCATAACAAAGCATGGTTTAGTTTTGTTACAATGACCATTCAGAATAAATATTTGGTGGTAGCAGAAAAAGAAGATTGAGTTAATGGTTTCAGAGTTAAGTTTTATAGGTTACAATTTATAAATAAAGTTTTTTCCTGTTAAAATTGTTAGATGTAATTCTTGTGAATTTACAGAGGAAGGAGGGATTGTATTAAAAAAGTAATGAATAGCTCCCTTTTGATGGTTTTCTTTCTCTTTACTAATTAAGATTGGCATACCAATTTTTATTTTAAGATTAAGGTATTATTAAAATAATCGGTCTCCTTAAATGTATATCAGATTTCTTCTTAAAATGTCCTTAGGATGGTAAAAGGTACTGTAGTTTGTTCAATGACATAAGTTCTGAAAGAGGAGTAGTGATTTTCTCTTGCATCTTTCTGATTCCTTTTTTCATATTTAAAACAACATTTAAATTAATTCAGTTGATTTAAATTGCTAAGTATCTTAAGTCTAAAAAATTCTCACTATTTACATGGTTTGTAAATTGCAAACCTTGAAAATTTATAACTATAATGTTTACAGCTAGGTTCAGAAAACTTGTAATAGATTGGTTATCATTTACATTCAATATCTTTATTTACATTTACATTACACTAGAAGGCATAAGTTTTATAATAGAATATACATTTGTGAGCTTAATTTTTAATATATCTTCTGTGGAAATTCTTAACACATTGTCACTGTCAAATTGTGCACAGGAACAAGGGGAAAGAATAGCACAAATAACTTTTTGAAGAGAGAGCCTCAAGCTAAGGCTGTGTCTGTTGGAAAATTTTGACTTTGGGTGCATTTAATAGAAGTTTATTTTAGTAATTTAGTTTAGAAATAATCTCTTCTTTCTCCTTTTTCCTAACAAATTTTGTTCTCTGAATGATAGCCCTGTTGCATTCCAGGTGTGATAATTGTGGTAATCACATATTATAATACACTTCCCAATATAGGATCCATTAACTTCAATAAGCTGTCTTAAATTTAAGTACGAATAAAATAGATTCTTTTATTTAGCATGGACACAGTTACAGTTTGTCTCCTCATCTTAGAACAAGACACAATCACATTAGCAAGCATTATCCCTACTTTGGTGAGTAACTGAAGACTTCATCTGGGAGTGTCTTCCAGTTGTAAAAAATGTATTTTTAATTGAATTTTTTGTAAATTAGTGGGAAGACTGAGAGATTTTTAAGAAGACCTAGGGTTTTTTTGCCTTTAAACTTATTAGTAACTAAGGGAAAAAAAGAATAATCTGTTCATTCATGGTTAAAGTTGTGTTCAAATTCAGTAGAGTCCATTGAAACACACTTCATTTGGATTATTTTCTTGTTTTGCAGTTTTAACTGCATTCCCGGTTAGGACATATAAAATTAAGGTTTTACCCTTGGGGTTAGTTCCATCTACAACTGTTAGTTACAGTTGTACAACTCCATAGTGTCTCTTCAATTATAATCCTGAACTCTTAAGTTTTTTTAGTATAAAGAAATGAAATTTGATTTTGGGAAGGGATTGTGGGTTCTTTCTCTGCCTTTATTATTTTTTCTTTCTTAATAGTATTATAAATCTTGTTTCTTGTTTCTTTCATAATCTTTTCCTATACACATTTTTTTCTTCTGTCCATTTTCTGCTCAGCCATCCTTGTGTAACTGCATAACGTTTTTAATGAAGATGGTGGGATGGTAAGTGGCTGACAAAAATGGAGGTAACTATTTCCCTCCTGTTTCAGTGAACTCATTGTTCCTTAGGAACCTTATATAATTAACCATGTTATATAGACCAGCAGCTTTGCGGTTGGTTTCCTGACCCTGCCGTTTAGTTAGATACAAAAATGCTTGGAAAGATTTATGGAAGTCTAACAATGTGTTACTCATTAGTTAAGAATCCCATAAACATGGCATAGTACTTGGATGTATGAATTCAAGAAAAATTTATTTTATAATGTATCATGATGATAGACTTGTTGGTAAGTAGTAGTTGGGAATTCAGTATTGTAGAATTCACTGTTACATCATGATTCTCCAGTCCATCCTTATTAAAGAACGGAGTGATTTTGAAGGAAAGCTGATAACTTGAGTTCAATCTCTACAAGTGCTTCATATTGTGCAATGCTGCTAC